CAGTACTGTGTTAGGCGGCGTTGCGAGTACTGAAAGAACCGGTGAGAAGTAGACATAAGCCATTAATGGGCCGTAGAGATTTTGTATTCACACATACATAGAATGTCTCGTATTACGGGTTCTCGCGGGACAACGACTCGCTGCTGTTCGTTCAACTGTTGCCTATTCGCTTTAGTGACAAGTTTGGATCTTGAAGAGCTGATTTCCCGTCAGTCAGGATCATTACGACTCTGAAGCCGGACAACTAGGTACCAAGTTATATATATATATATATATATACTCATGATTAATGAAGCTCTCAAAGTCTGAGTCACATACATGTAGTTCAATGTGGAGGGGACTTCGCCTTCAACACGGACTTATGCGAAAAGTGTACAAGGACACCTAATCGACTGTTCTGTTGTACGGCAAAGTGATCAACTCAAAAGTGACAGATGAAGATGAATGCGATACCGACGATTCTTTGGTTGCTGCTATAGTGCTCGTCAAACTCGGAGAATCGCCCGGTCATGGACCTGGAGGGAACTCATTCAAGAAAGCTAAGAACTAGAAAACCACATCAAAGTTACGCGAAACTCTTACACAGAGCCAAACGCGTGATCAAATTTCAAGTACACCCGAAAACAAGACGAGGGTCCGAATATGAACGAACATCCAAGCAGCCCTTGTTGTTACAGTTGGACCAGAGCAAGAACAGAGGAAAGATAGATTCGACAAAGTGACTCTTCGATATCCATCATGATTCAAGTGAATCTGGCATTCGCCAGACTATTTTGAGATGGGACGAACACAGAGACCCGAAATTAACCCAGAAGCACCAGTGGCAATCTCCTGAGAAAAAACTACGGAAAAAGTGAATATTTGGCCAAACGAATTGAAAGGCTGCAGTCATACGCGTATCAACGTTGTCACAAATAATATTCTAGCAGACAGGAGGAACTCTTTGGACGGGAAGCCCAATATCTTCAAGATTTTGGAGACAGGTGAACTAGCGGGCAGGCAGGATGGATTAATTTTTTGCACCACTCAACGGGAAAAAAGACGTCATTTGGAACCACATGACAATTTGTTCCAGCATACAGCAAAGCCCTACTTGGGTGAATTGCCTACAGCAACAGAACTGCGGGGGGCTATAAACCAATTGCATCATAGGACATCCGTGGTATTGGAGCGAAATGTTCGAGCTGTGAAGATAGACAGTGTGGAACAAACTTCCCCAAACGGTATGCAGAAAATGGGAGCTGGAGAACGTCCTGTACGATTTGACGGATACTGTGGCAATTCATTTCTATAAATGCAAAGGAAATCGGATCTTTCCAGATAAAGAGGATATGAAATTTGTACTTTCACTTTTTACTGAAGAGGGTGAAATTGGAGCATGGTATAATTAATTTGAACGAAAACGTCCCTTTTTCGATACCTTTGCCTCCAAACGAACCCACACAAGTAGTTGTCCTCTATAGATTTGTGTGTGCCGCATCGGCATTTATTCTGCATCTTGTGGACGTGCCAAAGAGATTCGATGGTTTGTGTATGAGCTCCAGTCGTTGGATCCACAAAGTTTTAAGTACGATTAACCGTTTCATGAGTGTAATATCATGTCAATTATCGTTTCCATTCCTTGGTATGATGCCCACATATCGGAGATGATGATTGAGCCGCGAGCAATGCAGGCCTGGATTGTGTCCATCAAAGTGGCCACAGTTCGATCTGGCACTGCATACATAAACACCTCTTCAGTTTCCCGGCAGATCCCTCCGAAAATCCACTGCTAAGGAAAGACTCACCCTGGGTAGCTTTTGCGACGCTTCATCGATCCTGACGTTTAGACCTGGGCCGCCGATAACTGTTGGAGTCTGCAAAAACCACCAGGCGCAAACTTCGCGAATAAAGTTCTCCCACTCAACAGCGGTTGTGTGGCTAATTGATAATTCCTCTGAGGAGAATTTGATTTCTGCCAAATTTCTGGGTCAGCAATAAATGAATAGAATTACTGTCCTAAACTCCATTCTAGACCGCTCCAGCTAAGTTTCCTTTCGAAGACCGATTTCTCGCCGACGCTGTCGAGCATTACACCTCCACCTGTGAGAAACAGTTGAAAGTGTCATTTGGTGACCACTGTTGCATAAACGTTGCTGATGGATCACTCCTTGGCTTCGCAAAGAAACGAATTGCCGTCTCCTTGTCATGGACGAGAGTTGAAAGCGTCAGAAAGTTCATTTAAGGTTTTACGTCCAAACGGAGAAAATCTTTGCGCAAAATGAGTCTAGATGCGGATAAGGAATTGTTTTCATCAAAAATAGGTCAAGGTTGTGTGTGTACGTTAAATTGGGGCTGACGAAAAGTGTCGGGTCTTGACTTTTCGGACATACACTTTTGCATGAGTGGCGGGGCTTACCTGGAAAAGATCCAGAAAATCGACACAAGACAGCCAACCCGCCTTAGAATCCGCCTCCCATATAGGCCAGATAACATTGTGTCTAGGATCCCCCTCCATCGACTAGTCGCAGGCATTCTGGAGGAAAGCATTCCTGAGGAGCAGTGTGGATTTCAAAGTGATCGGATTGCGATTGGCTTTGCGTTTGCCTCAAGACAATTCCGACAGAAGTGTTGTGAACAAAATCATCTTGTTTGTGACATCCGAAGAATGACAGCATTGTTAACCGCAGTGGTCAACAGGTCAACAGCTGACGTTGTTATCACATGCACGGTGTCGTACTGGAGCGCGCGGGGGGGGGGGTCTAAATGATGCCGATACCTGTTTTTACATCATCATGTCTAGGCAGGCTGAGGGCTTGTAAAAGGGTTTCTGCATGTCCGCCTGCCATTTTGATTCCCTCAGGTCCACATCTGGTCAAGTACTTGTGTGCAGAGGCGCATTTGACTAACTGCATACCGTCTGTCGTTCTCCCAAAATGCGGGGCCTGTTGTTGATCGGCAAATGCGATTCGAATACGAACGATCGGCACATGGTGATAAAAGTTCTTGATCTCGACTCACCACAAATAACTGACATACATATGCTCGGCAAGGAATGCTCATGGTTGCGAGATGTTAGCTCACCGAACCGGTTTTTTTCGAGTTTGAACCGAAATGCATTCATGCGAAGACGAATGGTGTTGAGATACCAGTTCGCTGCCAAATTTTTGCTGGCCATACGAAAGACAACACTTGCGGAACAGTTTGAAAACTAAGACACTACAAAACAGAATAAATTGCTATAGAAGGATAGTTACTTTTATCTGCCGTTAGGGCATTCTTCTCACAGCACAATGAACCGAGTGTTTTCGAGAAATACACTCATTTGTAAATCAATTTGTTTTTCACGAGTGATTCAACTGAATCTCTCGTTTATGGTATTCTACAACTGAATGTGCTGCACACAAACCGCCCCATGATTAAGTTGTCACGATATTCGAGATATCGCAGTATATGTTCATGAAGGAAACTATTCACATGGTTACTGAAAACTCTTCGATGGCCCACGACCGGTTTCGCTCTTCTTGGGGCTCATCAGGCAGACGCAGTCCCTGAGTTTCCGTCTCAGAAACAGTCCAATTTGGGCTCAAGTAGAACATAAGGTTGACGGAAACTCGGGGACCGCGCCTACCTGATGAGCCCCAAGAAGGGCGAAACCGGTCATGGGCTGTCGAATAGTTTTCAGGACTGAGTGTTTCTTTCTAAGTGGAGGCAACAAATTAGGTCCACGACGACTCGAAATTTTTCTGGAGTAAGGTCTGATGGGAAGAGGCTTTACTAGCGAACCCACCTAGACCAAAGTCGGTTCAAGTACTGTCTAGTAGCGTGAGGCATCAAATGACAGCTGAGGAGTGGGTGTGGTGACACGGAATAGACTCCTGCAAATCCGGTGACTGATTTATTTAACCACTAGTAAACTCACAGGATCTATCCCCAAAAAGGACCACATAGCAGTCAAGGTGCCAGTGTTGTTAGCGGAAAAGTGGACGACGCAAGCAGGTGCTGTGGAATAAATCATATGGCCTGCCATCCGCAGAAGAAATTTGTCCAAAGTTTCAACTGACCGTTAGGCTAATGCCAGCTAATGGAGGAAATAGCTGCAGGAGTAGGCGCTACCGACTAGAACCCTCATACTACCCCCAGACAATTGCTACCTCAGGATATGTTGGGGCGACATCTCATCATACACGTGACCGAACTGCTGCAACCTTGAACTAAGCGTAGATGCTCACAATCGCCGGATACTTATCTCTGGTCACGGAAATTGGGTGAGTCCCAACACCGGTTGCGCAGTAATTTGAAGGGGAATGATTCCCATTCAAACTGGGTCTTTGCGTAACCTGATGATTTTCGTTGCCGCTTACAGTCGAAGTGTAAGATAGGTGGGTAACCAATGCACTTTGAGTTTACTCGATTATCAACCCTTCCTTTCCCCGAGGAATGAATCTAAAACAACTTCAGGCGACATTACTTGATGCACGATTTATAGCTGATGAAGTCCAGGCGAGCCCAAATAAGCGACCGGGATGAGCTTCAACATGGTTTAAGGGTTGCGTGGTAGGAGAAAATTTGATGGTGGCAAGCTCACAAACGGAAGGTACAAGATGTCTATCCTACCCCATCTGCTTTGCAGATGATCCGAGGACTTCGATCACTGGGGATGCCTCTGAACATTTGAGGGACAACAGGCACGTCCTGGAAGTGTAACATCGCCATACAGCATCGTGCTTTTTCCCTCCAGACTAAGGTATCGTGAATATATAGGCGCTAGCAGACGTGAGTAAATTAGAAATCCTATCAATGTTGGCCCAATGCGGCTTTGTTCATCGGCCACCCGATGCTACAGTCATTTGGTCGTTCTGTTCTGGGGGTGAGAATGCCCAAGTGGTTAGAGCGCGAATTTACTGACCGGAATCCGACGTCTGCCTCTCGACTTCCCCTGTCTAGGTTTGGGCAACCTGGCAGTATCCCAGCCCTCGTGCTTCCTTTGGGTGGCATGGCAGCTAGGCACCGGAAGGCTGTTACAGCTGGACGATTTTATTTTTGGTCGTTCTATCCAAAAAAGGGGTTACAGCATCTGATTCAGTTGACCATATTTGACTTTTTACAGGTAGCTGAATAGCATGGTGTATAGGGTATTCTTTACAGATACTACGTCTTCAGATTTCATTCTATTCCGTGGCCCAGATAACGCCCGATTGACAAACTGATACGTAAATGGCCAAATATCTTTATTCTATCCCTTTCGACAGTCATTCATCAGCTCAAAAAGTGAGCCAAAATTATTCCTTATCAGGTGCGTTTGGTCGGTTTTTCCGTGTCTTTCTATAAGTTGCATTCTTTTGATCAAGCAAAATGATACCCCAGCAATCCTTCCATCACGTCAACCCTGGAGGTTGACTTTCTCAGTCCAGCTGTCTGAAACGCAACTTCACGAATGTCCATCTTCACTAAGTTTCAATGTTCGTCCACTGACCTCAGGGGAGTTGGTTGCGAGAAGCACCTAACCAGAGCCTCCCTTAATTTTGTCGTTTTATTTGCCAAATTGTTGTGACTTGTGGACGATCGCGCAACTCTGTATCGGTCCCTTGGCTTCCTGCTCCGCCCACTATGGTATATCAAAAAGCACGGTAGCTCTAGACAGTACTTTATAGAGACAAAGGAAAACTATTACAACTGTATTTATAGGGTAGTCACAGAGTGTTCCACAAGGTCGTGCTAGAAGTACCGTGAGGGGGCGAGAAGCGTCGAGTCAAAGGTGCTTGACTCGGATTGGCTGGCATTCTGACCAATCAGGGTATGCCTTCATTTGGCCCGTGTCCTGCACGTGACACATCCGTCCAAATGATGTGGTGTTCGGTTATTAGGGACGGCTGGCCTCTGTACACAAATCTTTCGTTTTCTCGGCATCCCGCCACATACAGTATCCTTCCCTTCCCTGACAAAGGCGGCGTTAGGAAACTCAGCACTTGACCATAACTGTAATCCAGTTCTTGGGCGGATAAATACAGAATTAGTAAAGTACCCACACCTGCTGCTTGGATTAGCACAGCCCCACAGTGGACAGAAAACCGTGAAACATCTGACTCCAAACGACCCCAAAAGTTTCCACGTTCTTTTAATCTCAGCTTAGTTGAGCAGTGAGAACTTCCGGTAGAAGACTGCCACTAGTGAACAATGAGTCTAAAAGCTGCTTCCAAAACTCATGTTTTGACCGCATAGCAGACCTCAGCTTCAATAATTAGAAATCTGGCCGAATTACCCAGTTCGTGGCAAACTTTCATGGTGATAACTATACACTTTAAAGAGTGGATGACTGAAAATACTAAGAGACATTACCATCCCGATAATCACTAATTGACGAACAAGTTAGACTCCGAGACATGCAATTCATGTGAAGAGAAAACAAGTCATTTGAGTGGAAGGTAACTAGAGTACAGTTATTCATTCAAAACAAACGTGTAATCTACAAAGCACACTCCAAATGGTCTACATCATTCCGTCTAAACGGCGAGGGTCTATTGGATTATAGTTACTAACGTTTGTCGAAATTCCGCAACAAACGATTTGCAGGTACAACCCCGTCCGTCAGCGAATTGACCAAATCACTAACAACAAACATCTGACCGAACTTTGTCCGAATTGATTTTGATGGATCCACTCGGGATCGTCATGATCATTGGCGGGATCCACAGTCCCCTTAATTCCACCTCGTAGTTCCACCTTTAACGACCTTGACTTTGTTCTGTAATAGCTTGACAATACTACCGCAGACTTTTCAATGATTTGTCTCTCGTTCCTGCAGTTTCCTTGAGGCTGAAAGGGAAACCGGTCCGAGCACGACATTTCTTCAGACAGGTGTTTCACTAGTTCAAATTTTGGCAATCTCTGTCTCTCAGGAAATCAACTAATCTGTCGGACATCAGTTTTCATCACGGAGAATTGAAGGCTCCATTACTACAGGTCACATTAACTAGCGATGGTAAAAGCGTTCTCTTTGAGATAAGACGCTAACTTGAGTCTTCAAAAGGTGGAGAATATTTGACATGTATTCATAGTATAATGTGTAGATACATTCGATCTGATCAAACTTTTCGATCGATTGTTTGGATGAAAGGCAACGATTGGTGTGTCCACGGACGCCTGAATATTCCAAGGCTGAAATACACACTACAACAACAGATTGAATCAAACTTGACCCTAGATTAAATTAATTCGTACAAGTACGCGAGGTTGCATTGAGGTCAGCTGCAGGTCACCAGCCAGCGTTGCTGTGACAATAACGCTTAATGTGCAATTAGCAGCACTGCGGTTCCACACAAGAACTACACCAGAACGTTATCAAATCTCAAACCTCAAGTTTCAGTTTGATTCAAAGCGAAGTTGAGTGTAGCCACCAACAGACGTTTGTGTTCCAGCGTCCATCTCTACTAGCACAAACCGCGTGTGTTGTGGCCTGTGTCAGACAGAAGTGTGTGTCAACAAAGTGAAGCTTTCTTGTAAACAAGCTTCCCGATGAGCATGACCAAACCAGAGAGTAATGGTGGTTTGTCCAGTCTCCTGTGCCATATAATCACACGATGCATTTCATTATCCTTGGATAAAAAATCGCCTCCACACAATTCAACCTAGCCCCCTTTTCCTTCGCTTTTTTTAAAGACAGCTTCCCATGCATGCCAGTGTATTGGTCTCCCTTGGGAAAAGTTCCTTGGCGCAGAGGCCGAATTCCTACTTGGGCCCGTTTCAGTGGACTTAAGTATTGGTTAGATAAGTCTAACACTTTGATTTAGTAGGTAGTCCTTTCTAACAAGCTTCACGGTAACCTAAAATCAATTGTGTGGACGATCGATGTGAATTTTACTGCGAGGGCGATGTATGTTGTGACTGAGTATTCGCCGTGCAAATTTGGCAAACAGCATTTGCCCCGTGTGTGTTGTAGCAAAAAGTGCAACCCGGTCGGGGGTGACTGGATGTTTGGTCTATACGCGAAGCAAACAAGATGGCATTGCGTTGATTATGTGTGTAGGGGTCCATTTACAGAGAAATGGCGACTTTCGCAGGTAGCTAAACCAAAATGAAAATGGTAGAAATAAGTAAAAAGAAATGAGGGTCTCCAAAAGGCGTTACTTGATGAATGGATGATGACGAAGCAACGAAAGCGTTAGCCCATACACACCCACACTGAAAGTACCACCACTGTAGCAAAGTAGGTTACAATTTGTCCTTTGAATTTGGAAAAAGGCATTCACTGAACTAGGTGAGATACATTTTGTTGGGTGACTAAAACACTATTTGCTTCGTTCAGACTACAGCTTGCCTCACTGCTAACAACAGTGTCCCACGCGGATTAATGTGCTTCAAAATGGTCGATTGGTTTGGGGAAGCTTGCCTTTTTTCTTCACGTCGCATCTGACTGAAGGTCTATGACTGGATTCATGGATATGGACTCAGCACTTTTCATTAATTACTACACGAGGTCTAGCACGCCCTGTTTTTTTTAGTAAAGGCTGTGTGTGTTGTGTTATTCTGCTTGTATGACCGTGATACCAGTACAGCATTGCGGGTTGGTTGTAATTGATTTTTGACATTTCATCTGTTCACATTTGTTTTTTCACAACGTATGTGAATAACTAGACTGAGTTCACAATACAGACATACAGATTTTGCGTTTGGAAGTTAGTTGAAACTGTGTCTGACTCAAGGATTTAACGACAATCCGACAGCTGAAGCTAACCAAAGTGACAGTATGCAATTCGTATTAAGCTAATTTATTTGCTGAAATTAATATGGCATTCCATGAGCGACAGTTGTGCTACATTGTGATTCTATTTTGGTTACAACCTGCTTTTTTCGGTAGCCGTTATTCAACCTGTGAACAAAGTATTTGTGGCACACTACTTGCCAAGCTCGCAGGCTTCTGGTTAGCTCAGCTCCAACCTGATTGGCTCTCAGCCGCACGACTCTTTCGATCCTAATTGGTAGATCGATCAGTCAGTTTTGGCTAGCGATTTCAAAATTTCCCTCTCGGGCACGCGTGCACCAACCCATTCGTCAAATCATTGAATACGGTTTTTGCGATTCTTGCACTCAGTGGCCGGTATTTCATGCAGACCAGTGAACAGTCAGGTTATTTTGTTTTCAAAACTCAGCCATCGTTGTGAAGGTCCCGGTAATTATGCTTGGAACTTGAATCGGTTACTTTGGGCAAAGCACAGATCCGAGAAATCAACCACCACGTGCTCGTTGAAACTCACTGGTAGATGGTTGATGACTAATCACCCTCTGCATAAAATATGCTCAGTTCTTCAGGTCATTTCATAGGAGGACATACTCACCAAAAGGGTCTCTGACTTTTCAACAGTTGTCATAAGATTCATGGGTCAATTTCTAGTCGCGACAAAATTCCTGCAGAGGGAAATTAATGGGAAGATTACTGCGGTTAACTTAAGCTGTAAATGCAGGATTTCCCAGTGAATGAGGATCCACAATTAGGACTATTTACCGATTCTAACCCGCCTAGCGTTCACGTACAGCTGTGGTGCACCCTACCTCGGTCGAATGGCATTGCACCAGTCTTTCGGAATTTAACAGTACCATCCACGCCAGTTAGAATTAAGATGTAGCGAAAATCTGCCGCACCTGGCATAGCTGATTCTCAAACACTCTCTAAACTGCCAATCACCCCAAACCGACGGGCTTCGCCAAACTGTTTGATCCGTGTTCAGTTAAACGTGTTGTTCATCCACTAGGCTTGTCATGGCATCCGGGTAACCCCACAAATCTGGTTTGCTTTAAGTTGCCTACCCATTCGGTGGTAGATGAATGAGATACTAAGGTGTCTGAGGCCTTTCGTAGACTTTGTTTTGTCCGCCAGAACAGGTTAGTGCGTTCACCATTTTGGCAGGAACGAAAAGACACTCACCATCGACCTCCTGCTCAGATTATCTGGACGATATCACCGTATAAGAGGCCCCCTATGGGCACTGACGAATATCAGCAGAGTGTGGTGAGGCACCCGTGGACGATATCTACCTAAATGTTACGGACAGGAATCGTCGTCCGTGGCTCAGTAAGTGGAGCATCCATCAAGTAAGCAGCAGCTCATTGGTTCGAGTCTTGCCCAATCCACCTCACCTTCTGTCATTTCAGGCGGTCCGTAGAGATCTGAGGAAAGAATTACTGAACGCATCTGACCACACTAGGTCCGCTTTCTTCATTTCACTAAATCCTTGACCGCTTAGTTCAAGAACCACACCTACGAGACCCAACACATTCGATAAAATGCATGCGAAAAATTACGTAGTGTATGCCTTACACAGATACATGGTCATTTGGTGAGTTCAACCTAGGTCTAAGTGCTTTAGGCTTGCGAACAATGTGATCGATTTCGTAAAATCGTTTGTGCGCAGTAGTAAATATGTAGCAAGTCACTGTGTAACGCAAAGCTACTTTTCCAGAAGACACCTTTGAAGCAAATTAATCCATGAGGGCACCGAGATGTTGAGTACTATTCTAACCAAAGCAAGATTTGTGTGGTTCACATGTCAAATTAGCATCCCTTCTACTTGATGGCGTCCAGCACTCATCCTAATGGTATTGATTCATTTTCGGCAACGCCAGTCTTCTACTGCAGCGCCGACAGCATTGAGTTTTAAACCCGGGTGAAAATGGCTGGTAAAGGGTGAAAATACTTAACACGTGGCACGCATCAACATTCCGGGCACAGTTTAGTTGTTCCGCTTGAATAATCTCGAAGCGCACTCTTTTCGGATGAGCCCCAGTCTTAATTCTTGCCAACTTTTATCATACTTTTGTAACGATTTCTGATGATTTTTACTCACTTGTAGAATCCTGGGGACTACGAAAAATCATGTGATTACACCTCCCATTGTTTGAGTCTTCATAGCAGTATTCGAAAGCTTGGGGATCATTGTGATATTAGTAGAGGGGTCGATACCAACTTGAACAGATCAGCTACGATTTTTGACAATGATTTGTGGCAGTGAGACCAACTTAGGCTGAAAATCCGATGAGCACCGCACAGCGGTTTCATCCTTATTAAGAATCAGCATCGGCGTCCATCTCACAAAAATCTGGGGAGTCTCGAACCCATGACCTCCAGACTGGCAGCTGATCACCCTAGTGTTCGGCCACAAGCGGTTGATTGGCGGCGTGATTAGCTGGTACTTAGAAAGGGTGCGGTACCACGCATCCTTCAAACACAGGATCCGCACCACACCTTACACATTTTGACTGGCTCCTCGAGTGACAACTTTTTAGATGGAATTTTCACTCATCGGGTGAGTTTTATGCCAATGAGTGAAACTAATAATCACTTGCGTCGTCGCTATTCGCGTTTTTGTTTTTGAAAATGTACGACCAATGTAGTGGGTTTGGAAACCAAGAGAGTGAAAAGTTGGGGTAACTCTTAATAAGGACTTGTGAACTCAAAATATCACCGAACTAGTCGCCAGAACTAGATCTTAATTGATTAATCGATGACAATCTAAGTTCAGACAGCTTCAGTGTTGAATTGTACACCCTATTTTGTTTGACCGCCTTCGCTGTACGTATGTATGTGGGGTTTGTACAGTTCAACAGGGCTTGGCGTCTGACGCATCCCTTGCTTTTTTATATTTAGGGATGAATACATAATGTCTGTAAACAGGGTCTCCTAAAGTGTACTTTGCTTGTGTCCCGAATCCCGAACTCTGGTACTTAAAAAATTCACGTGCATGTAGCTCTGGTCATCTCTACAACATGTGGGAGGTTGACGGGATAGTAAGATCTACTCTGACGGATTCCAGAAGTGAGGTTCGCGTCAGGTGCTCAGCTTTAAGAGAGAGAGACGGAGCCGGTAAGCAGGCAAACTGAAATTCTATGGCAGAAAACCCGGTCAATTTTGCGTACCAAGAGACGGTGGGTGGCTGGATGCACTTTCCTACCGCGCTGGTGCATGGAGAACCAATCATTGATGGAGGCTGCATGAATTCCAAACTCTACAGAATATTCACGAATGCTTGCATGTGTGCATGCGCGCGTACGCGTAACCTCGTCAGTTTCACGTGATGCTTACAGCTCTTTCGGGAATCCTAGTGGATCCATTGCAAACTACAGTGCGGATTTGAATGTCACGAATTGGGGCCACTCACGGCACCCACTCCGTTGAGGTGAGTCACGTGGCTGTCGATCTAGTGGAAGAATCGACTCAAACCCTTAAAGGTAATACACCACATCGTAGCTCAGTAATTCTGCGAACTTTGCAATTTGTAATACCCTGCCACAATAGATCAAGAGCACAGGAAACCAACAGTTACCGATTTCTCACCATCTCGGTGACAAGGCCCCAGCAACAGGAACAGCTGCATTAAAAGTAGATACTTTTTCATCTCCCGTAATAGATAAGCTTTGCTATTTATGGTACTCGCTTAGAATCTCCTCAGTTGGCGGAAAAAATGATTCCGAAACACACCCTCCTAAGAAGAATGAAGTATTTACTTGAGTGCCGATGGATACAGAAGCGTGATGCAACGTCCCGGATACGTGCGTGATTCCACACACCTAGAAATTTTATCCAGTCACGTAGACAGTCGTTTATCAACGGTGGAATTTCGGCAACTAAGCGCACTTACAAGTGGGTAACAGCACTATCACGCTTAACTGTACAAGACAGATAGTCGATTATGGCTTCAGCTAACCCAAATTTGTTCTCTCTCAACGACGGAACCTGAGCGGGCCACTGGACTCACACTGCAGATGATTGCCCCAATTGTTGTGAAGTGAATTCAGCGAGGTTGATGTTTTAATCAGACAGGAAGGATTATGGACTCATCTGTCCGGAAGCAATTGTCCGTTCACTCAAACATACGGACCGTAAAACACCAAATTCCACTAAAACACATGTGAAAAATCGGTAGTAAAAAATACCATCCCGGCAGACATCATGGCTGATCGTTCTCTTGTAAACCCAAAACACGGGATCGATTGGAAATGGAAGGAGGCATTACTCGTGATCACTTGCCATTATATACTGATACTGAAAGGCATGTATTACTGTAAATTATCCCTTGATTACTTTCCAATCTTGAACAAACCTTGGGTGATGAATTAGTGTGCAATGCAAAATTGTTGAAATTTGGCTTCTCGCTAAATAATTGGGATTTTACTTTTCATAAAGCATGCTTTTCTGTATCGGGCAAGGATGTGTGCATTCGTGAAGCATGCCTTCGTCAACAAGTCACTCTTTCGACAGATCAAATCCCAAGATGTCGCATGATAGACTCTGAGTATCCTTATTTGTGTATTTTCAGGTTGACCCATATTTTGAAGCAACCTTGAATACTTTTCTATGACCTGATGTATGCACACTTGGTTTCTTCCGAGTTACAAGATTAAAACTGCTATTTTGTTTTAATAAACAACTGAGTCAGTTATCAACGAGTTAGTCAGTCGGATCAACCGACTTGTCCGTTAGTTAGTTAGTCATTAAGTCAGTTGGTCAAATACTCAGTCATTTAGTGAATCAACAATCCAATCAACCAATGGGCCAAACGATCAGTCAATTATTCACGTACAGGGTGTAAAGCGGAACACTCTCTGACAGATGTTTCGTCAAGGTACGCTTTAATTCAACAATTAAATATCAGCCGGCTCCGACGTTATCATTTTGTCTGTAGATTTCAGCCCACTTAACGGACAAGTTGAATGTACAATTATGCACAAGTTCTATGGTCATCGTTACTGACAGTTCAACCGTTATGACCAAATTTTCAGTCAGCTAAAAGATGGGACCAGTGGATTTCGTTTGGTCATTGACGTTGTCCAGAATCACAAAGTATCGCGTAGAATGTCTGACAGACTACTTTGCACGTTGCGTCTTGTAGAGTATGAAGCTGATTTGAAAAAAACGAAACAAGGGGGTAGTAACTGATCATAAGGGCATTTTTATTCCACCATACAGAACACCAGGCAATAGGGAAAAACACATAAGTTACGTAAGTAATTATACTGTTAGTTATTGGGTTAGCGAATGGAAGGAGACGGTTATTCTCCTTTCAACTGTGACCTCCATATTGTCTAGCTACCATCATCATCATCATCATCATCATCATCATCATCATCATCATCATCATCATCATCATCATCATCATCATCATCATCATCATCATCATCAT